AGAAAGAAAGAAAGAAAGAAAGAAAGAAAGAAAGAAAGAAAGAAAGAAAGAGAAAGAGAGAAGGACAGAGGGAAGGAGGAAGGGAGGGAGGGAGGAAGGGATGGGGGAGGAGAGTTGGGTGGCAAGGAGAGCGAGCTACAGTCTGAACAGTTCATACAAATGCTTTGGAGGACATTTCCCCTTGAAGAACAATAAAATCCCTATGTCCCTTCCTCCATCTAACATAAAAGTCACAAATACATCTATGTAAAGGACACAACTGAAACTTCTCAAGCTGGTAATCTGCTTCACTCATTAACGAAAACTTCCCTGCCACGATTGTAGATTGTCTAATGGACCATTCAAAGGCACCCTATCTGCTCTGTCACTACAAAGTAACGGCACCAGAGTGCCTAGGACCAGAGTAAAAAATACACAAAAGTTAGTTTCTTTTTCTTTTAAATATTTGTAGTTAGCTTATCATATTTAGTTCATATTAAGGTAGTGGGGTGATAATCTAGAAATTATAAGATAATAAAGCTTCTATTTATATTTGAAAATCTTTACTAAGAATGACTTGAGAGGACATCATACTGTGTGCTAATTTTTTATTCGATACAAACAATAAAATCATAAAAACCATCTGGCATCAGTCCATTTTATGTGTCCTGCTCGTAGTCGAAGGCAAAGGTCAGCAATCCCAGTGCCGCCAGCATGAAGAGAAGCGACGACATTTAAGAGTTCTGAAATCAAGCCCTCCTCTCCTCCCCCACTGGACTCTCTGGCTGCCATACCACTCATATTTTGTGTTGTGCTCGCTCTACTTTCCTAACTGGAGCACATTCACTGGGTAGGTAGCAACCATTAGCCCTTCTTAACTGGGGACACAACCCTTCCAACTTCTCACATGATGCCTGGGCTGGTTCACCAGAGCCTACCCCTTTCACTGAATCATTGCAGTGCCCTTTCTTCTGAAAGCTAAACATAAACATTCCTGGTGAGTTCAACTTTCAGAAGCAGATTTTCCTTGTGTTATAGGGGAAAAGGAAGTTATCAGGAGGCAAGATTCATCGTAGCTAGAGGCAGATTCTAGGACTCAGGAAATATCATCATTAATGCTGAAGCTGGAAACTCCACCTTCATGCCACAGACTGCTGCTCTGAACTGGAGCTGCCAGGAGAGTAACGTTTACTTGGGGATCTATAAGGGTAAGGGCATCAAGGGAGCCAGCCCTTTAATGAGGGGAGAGGAGAGGCATGTGTCTGGTGGCCAGGACACGTTAGATAACCAGTTTTAAGGATAGCAGGAAGGACAGCTTTAACCTATTTTGCATCTTCCAGTGCAGTTTCGTGTATTTTATTTAACCCTCTCACCATGACATTAACATATAGATGGGGAGAGAGATTCAAAAGCATAGAGGAATCGTTTTTGAGTTCTGCTTAGTGGCCTGCTTAGCAGTGAGTCCACAGGGCTCTGATTTGGGCTTTTCCATCCTTCACAGATCTCCTTTGTGATTTCTGGGCAATTTCCCAGAAAAAAAATGACATGGCTTCCAGAGATTCTCTGACCAGGTCAGGATCCATGCCCTATCCCATGGCTGTCCTTGCAACAGAACTCAAGGGGCTGTCCTTGGCCTCTCTTCTCCAGAGTCTGTGCTGTATGAAATGACCTGGACGTCCGCTCACATGCACTCTAGCCTTTAACTGGCCTGGGATAATTAGAAAGTCAAGCAGAAGCTGAAGTAGAAAGAGGAGGCATGTGCAAGCGCCTTCTAGTACTATCCCGGACCAACTTCCTCAGTGTAAATGAAGTGCTGCCGAGGGGGTAAAGGAGAATACACTTGCTTCACAAGGATGCATGGGAATCATCCATGAAATGACTAGTTAGTGAACCCAAGCATCATGCCAGTCTCTTGGAAATCCATTAATACGGGAGCCAGAGCCTGACACAAGGTAAAGGGATTGTTTTCTGTAAAGAACAGACTAGTCTTTTACTATTTCACAATCTACCAGCTCCATAACAGTCCTGGGGAAATGATTCAGCTTCCTTGAATGTCAATTTCCTCATCCTAGAAGATAGGGATTCTCTATACATCACTTTGTATTGTTATAAGGACAAAACTCATGTAAATAAAAGCCTGTCTGGAGTCTGGCACTGTAACTACTATTATTAGAAAATGACCACCACAGTCTGGGCCCAAGCACAGAGCAGATCCCAGGCGGCAGCTCTGTACCCAACCTCACAAAACCCAGAGGAAGAAGGCCTCCCAGGAGCTCTAACCCAAGCAATATCTCAGGTAAAAATGAATCACCCATGATGTCTGCGGTTAGAAGTTCTAATCCAGATGCTGGCCTCAGACCTTATACTACTCAGACCTTCAACGGGTCATTGACAAGAACATCAAACAGCTAGGGATTGATATCACTAATCTGAAGAAATTCCTCATTTCGCTGTCTGAAGAGACCTCCAAAAATTGCAAAGGACTTTATTGAACTTGATTTACTCTTTTACAATAGAAAAGAAGACTGTGTACAGCTCTTGCCTGTGTACAGCCCTTAAAGAAGAATGTTGCCTTTACATAGACAAGACAGGGGTGGTTAAAGAAAACATGAAAAAGGTCAGAGAAGGCCCTGAGAAAAGACAGAGAGAGAAAGAGAAAGATGAAAGCTGGTACAAGAATTGGCTTTCAACCTCTCCATGGTTGTCAACCCTACTTCCTCCCACCTTGGGACCATTAATTGGGCTATTTTTGCTTATTTCTTTTGGTCTCTGGACCTTAAATAGGCTGACTAACTTTGTGAAACAACAGATAGATAATTTGGTAGCAAAACCTATTCAGATACATTATCATAAGTTAGCTATGGAGGACCACGAGACTCAAGATGAGGTTGTTACTCTATCCAGGGTATTCCCAAAACCCATCTCCACCCAACCTAAAAGAGGGGACTTCTGCCCCTAGACCAAGCAGAGAGGGGTCACCCAGAACCCCCTCTGACAGGCGATCTGAATTCTTGCTTAGGCTGCGAGGCTAAGTACTGCAAGGGAATATAAATAAAAGATAAAAATATCTCTCTGGTTTCCCTGAGGGACAAGCCTGACTGCATAGGGGTTGATGTCAAAAGTACCCCTCTCCAGGAAAAAGACATCAGGATGGGTATGGCCCTCATGCCTCACTGGACAACAACAGGGGGACTGGAGCCATTACAAAGTCCCCTTCAATAACTGGAGGTCAGGCCTCTATCCCCACCTTTGCAAGATTAGAACTGCCACAGCCCTTCTATACTTAGAGAAGGGAGGAGATGTCAGGGGCAGCCCTGCTTATATACTGAAGGCCCAAAATTAGCCATAGCCCTAAAATCAGCAATAGGCCTGTCATACATGTATACTAACACCAAGTTCGGTCTCTGTGGAAAAACATTGAAACAGATGGCTATAAGCTATTATAAACAGGCAGCTTTTGTGGAAATTTACCAGCCTGAGTAGTCATAGACCTTGTAAATAGGTAGCCTTGGCAGATAATGCCAACTTAGATAAGGATAAGTGAATCATAGGCAGAATCATAGTGACCTGTCCCCTGAACCTTCACCCAACCGATACCCTGTTCTGGAAGATATCTGTACTCCCCCTGAACACCCACGCTCCGGTGTCATCCCCTTCCCCATGTCCTGCCTTTTTGTGTTTATAACCCCCTGAGTGAATAAGTAAAAGTTATGATTTGATTTACACACACACACACACACACACACACACACACACACACACACACACATATATGTATATATATGAAAAAAAAAGAAAGAAAATGACCACCAACAATGCTGCCATCTCTGAGCTGGAAGTAATGGCTGCCATGGAAGGAGAACAAAAATTCAGGCACAGTATGCTCTCCTCTTTGCAGCGATGTCTACTTAAAACTGAAGAATTGTATTTAACACTAGTAATGAGCACAGGAGACTTTATCATTGTTGAAGAAACTTCATTAAAACTAGCCTAGACAGAAGACTGGACCTGGTTTTGGATCTTCAGGACCATCACCCAGGAGCACTGAGACCCAGTTATCACACACACAGACCATCACCCA